TTCTCCCAGACCTAAGAGGTCACCATGTGTTGGTGCGCACCGACAACACAGTGGTGGTCTCTTACATCAACCACCAGGGAGGTCTGCGTTCGCGCCCTTTGTACTAGCTGGCGCACCAGATCCTTGTGTGGTCCCAGGGCAAACTCCTCTCGCTGAGAGCTGTTCACATTCCTGGGCATCTCAATATGGGAGCAAACATCCTGTCGAGGCAGGGGCCGAGGCCCAGGGGAATGGATGCTTCACCCCGAGGTGGTGAAGCAGATATGGAGAGTTTTTGACCAGGCCCAGGTGGACCTGTTTGCGACTCGGATGACATCGCACTGTCCCCTCTGGTTCTCTCTGACTCATTCAGCTCCACGGGGGCTGGATGCCATGGTACAGACGTGGCCGAGGCTTCATCTGTACGCCTTTCCTCCGATTGTTCTGCTCCCGGGAGTTCTGGAGAGATTGCGCCGGGACGGGGCCTGTCTGTTGTTAGTAGCCCCGTTCTGGCCGGGCCGAGTATGGTTCTCAGGCCTGATTTCTCTCCTGGACGGCGCTCTATGGGAGATTCCTGTCATGAGAGATCTCCTCTCACAGGTGGAGGGCGCGCCCCCGCCCGGAGCTGTGGAAGTTGTGGGTGTGGCCTCTGAGGAGGCACAACTCATAACTTCCAGTCTCTCAACCGAGGTTGTTGAGACTATCCTCCATCCAGAGCTCCCTCTATGAGGAAACTGTATTTCTGCGGAGACCGCCAGCCCGACCCAGCTAACTGCCTAACAGAGAAGCTTATGCTAAGTGGTGGATCAGGATGCTATTCCATAGCCTCGAGTCCTCTGATGGACGACGGGCCCCGCCTACTTTAGCCACTCCTGGCTCCCCTTTCTCTCGCCTTAGTTGTGTCTGACGGCGTGGGCATTTTCGTTCCCAAAGCGTTTTCCGACGCAGCTCGAGTTCCTGAAGAGGAATGTCTCAGGTTACGTATGTAACCATGGTTCCTCGAGGGAACGAGATGCTGCGTCTCAGTGCCATACTTCCGGCATCCCTGCCAGCGCTTGCTTCATTCCTGAAGCTGATGCCGGCTCCGCCGCACGTGCTTTTATAGCTTCCTGGCCATGACATCACCCGCCTGTGACGTCTCGCCCAGCTATTGGACTGATTTCACATGTGATTCAGAGCGTGGTCACAGAAGGCATTCCCAAAGCGTTTTCCGATGCAGCGTCTCGTTCCCTCGAGGAACCATGGTTACATACGGAACCTGAGACGTTTTCATGGTTAGTTTTTCATTTATTATTTGCTAAAGTTAGCGAATGTTTACAGAGTTCACGTAGGTCCTACTGCGCTGAAATTAATAGGGGAGCGGATGAAAACTAGCGACCTCTCCTGGTTGGAGATAGTATTAACATTATAAACTGAAAGCAATCTTTACGTGACTTGCTTTTGAAATGTTTTAAAATTGATCATCTGAGTCTAATATGATCCAGCGGGCCATACTAAAAGACAATGCGGGCCGTATTGATCATCCGAGTCTAATATGATCCAGCGGGCCGTAAACGTGGGCCGCCAGTTTCCCATCCCTGCTTTAAATTAATCTTTATAAAATGATTAATAACTTATTTTAACAGCTTTAAGATAACAAAATCTAGGTGTAACTATAGTTTATGCCTAAAGATGAAAGAGGCATGTCATTCGTACAAAGAAGGAGCTATCAGAAACCTGTCGTATCTGTCCAGGAAAAAAAGTGATTAAAGGCTGGAAACTACACAACTTATAAAATGTGAACAGATTCTTAAAACACCAGGCATCATACGCTTACCGACTTATAATAGTATTGTAAATAGTCACAAAGGAAAACTGCATCATACACTAAACGACTGAGCATGATACACTACCAGATGTGAAATTTCTTCTGATCACAACAGACTCACACAGAAATGTGCTCATTGTTGGAGACACGTGACAAATTAAAACAATATGTATTCTAAAATCGGCTGAAATATCAATCATGTTTGATCTCCTCCGACTGGATGGAATCAAAGTCTGAAGCTAAAAAATCTGTCTGTGACCATCATATGTGATTTTCTATGGAATCAGGCAACTCAAGTCTGGCTCTGACCTTTGGCAACTAGCATCAACTTCTCCAGACTGTAAATCGGTGGAAAATCTGAGCAAAAAATTGTGTAGTGTATTCCAGGCTTAAGGGAATATAAATAAGTTGACATCCATTTAATAAGAGGCATTATATTGTGACTAGTTTCTGTGTTCATCCCCATGAATTAAATGTTTTATTGGTTTGTTTTGTTATTAGATTTTTGAATATGTGTTACTTAGGTCAACATGGACAAGTCTAGATGTTGCAGTGTGGTTTGACTAACACTTTTGAATGACACAATGAATATACTATAACTGATCAAATTGATTGCCTTGTTGCTTGATTTTAGTGTTGTTTTTTTGTGATTAACTTTGTACCTTCAAATAAAACATTTTTCAATTATTCTTTAAACATTTTCCTTAAAATAAACAAGAATTATTAATAAAACATGTGAGCTTAATGGGAACAGGGGTGTGCTTAAATGGTACAAAAATGTACCCATTAAGCATGGCCAGCCTTTTTGCATTTAATGATGTATATCTTAATTGAAATGCTTTTGTCATTTAAAATAAAATTAAATATTATTGTGTGAGAGATTAATATTTTATTTTAACATATCTTCTTGTACCGAAACCGATAACTTGTGCACTAAAAATGTCTCAATGTAGATTTTTAGATTTTGGTGAGCTTAATAGTGGTGTAGTCTAGTTTTTTGTCGTGGGTACACTCTGATATTCCCTCCCAGCCTCATACTCACCGTCCCACAGTGACACCCCATAAGCACCACCACACTCACTAATTCATACAATTTGCATCTACAGTATCTCACAGAAGTGAGTACACCCCTCACATTTTTGTAAATATTTTATTATATCCTTTCATGTGACAACACTGAAGAAATGACACTTTGCTACAATGTAAAGTAGTGAGTGTACAGCTTGTATAACAGTTTAAATTTGCTGTCCCCTCAAAATAACTCAACACACAGCCATTAATGTCTAAACCGCTGGCCACAAAAGTGAGTACACCTCGCCGTGGTCGACCAAAGAAGTTGAGTGCACATGGAAGGTGGAGGAGCGCAAGGTCTCTAACATCCACCAGCTCCGTGATATCGTCATGGAGGAGTGGAAGAGGACTCCATGCCCAAGAGGGTTAAAGCAGTGCTAGAAAATAATGGTGGGCGCACAAACTATTGACACTTTGGGCCCAATTTGGACATTTTCACTTAGGGGTGTACTCACTTTTGTGGCCAGCGGTTTAGACATTAATGGCTGTGCACCGACAATAATAGGTTTTATCAGCTGGCAATTTTCAATGCACATTTAAGAGTGCCTGTTTTTAAATTCTCATCTCTCTCATCTCTCTCATCATCTGTAACAAGGAGATATAAACATTGTATTCGGTTTAACTGCTGTAAACTCACATACACAGTATGTGTGTTATCTCTCCCCTTCTCTCGCATTCACTGATCCACCACACTAACGTTACTTAAGTATTAGCTAGTTATGTTGGCTTGAGAAAGCCAACATACTGTTATACTATTTAAACTTATTATTCTTCTTCTGAGACCAGTAATTTTCAACTGTACTGTATATCCTCCTAGGGCT